ACAATTCGTTATTCTTCTTTAGATTAATATTTTACCTGCGCCTTTCCAAAATTATTTTTTGATAGTCTTTTTTTTCTTAGCACTCACATTTTTCCATTCTTTGTGTGTGGACAGGTTATGTGTACATAGGTCAAGCTTTGCAGTCACTATCTGTGATTCTAAATCTTGTCTATCAACTTGATCAGATTTGAAATCACCTAGAAGGCACATATTGGGGTGTGGTTTTGAGGCGCCTTCTAGAGAGGTAGTAACACCATTTCCGAGGCAGAGTTCTGAGACTGAATAACAAAGAAAACCAGGAAAATGGAGTTTAGGACTAGCTTTTATCTCATCTGTATCCTGACTGATGTGGATACAATGTAGATACAATGTGGATACAATGTAGCCCGTTATCTCAGGTGCCGGGCTCTGAGATTCTCTGCAATGCTTAACGTCGCCCTTAAACTGTGAGTTTAAATCCACCCTAATTTCCGTCTTTGGGTTGCTTTTTTCACAGCTATGGAAAAAGTAACTAATTTAGAAAATGATATGGTTACAGTTGGGCATGTTTAGATCTAGGGAGAGTTTACAGTTTATCTCTATATAATAAGGAGATGAAATTGAGACACCAAGTATTTTAGAGAGAGAGAAGGTAGAATAAAAATAAAATATTCATCAAATAAATAACAGTCCCAGTTATTGCTTGTTTACTATGATGTGTTCTTGGAACTGTTCTAAAGTCTTTAGGTCAATAAGTTAGTTAGTTTTGACATTCATACTGAGGCAGACACAATTATTATTATCTTATAAATATACACAATAAGATAAAAGCAACCAATATGCATCACTCCCCCATATACAGCCCCATCGGGTGCTGCATCAAGATATGTTTCACAGTTCAATAATACACCAAAACAATCCCATGAAATCTAGTAGCGATTGTAATTGTCATCCTCACAATGCAGACGAGTACACAACAGCGCACAGATGTCAAGTGACGTGTGGGTATGAGGAAGCCTGTAAGCATTGGGCTAGCATTAGAGGCTTTATTCTGCCTCTCCGGGGGTAGTGGAACTGATGTTTGCATTTCTGTCCCTAGGATCCAGAAACTGTGCACTGCACACTACTGTCTTACAGACAAATGTTTTGGGTCGAATTGTTGAAGTTTGAGATTGCAAGAAACTTCAAAAATGACCGTTTTCAGAAAACTCTCTTTGCCTTCAGTTTTAAAAATTTTTTTCTAAAATATCAGTCATTTTCTTGGAAGCTCTATGGGATTAATCCTAACAGAGGCTATCTGTCCCGGAAGTGACATGTTCCGTCTTTAGGCGATTTTATTAGACATGCTAGATGCATCTCAACTCCTTTGGGGATGAGCTTTTGCTCTGAACTCACAAGACCCGAGTTTATTTCCCTCAGTGGATCCCATTAAGCACCAAAGGGAATAAACATTTAACTCCTTGATCAGTTCCATATTCAACAGCATTCTATACTTCCTGGGAATCATAGGCTCTGTCCTTTTGTGCAAGTTAACTTACATGTTTCTCTCCTCAAGAGGCATGTTTCAGACGTGTGCTGAACAGCCTAAAATACAGTAGGACTAACGCTTTCCTTCTAATGCCTGGAGATGTTGCAGGAGGTTGGTGTGATGAATGTTCTGGATTGTCAGCTTGATGGGTTTTAGAGCCACCTAGAAGACATATGTCTGGGAATATCAGAGAGGGTACTTCCAAGACGTACTCGGAATGTAAGTGGCACAGTACAGTCTCTAGTGAGTTGTTTAGTTTTTACATGAGGTGTCAGGGGACTGAGATGAATGATAACACCAAAAAAAAAAAAAAAAAAGAGTGAGCAGAGCACCAAAATTCACCTGGGTCTGTTTCCTAGCTACAGAATGCCTGCCCCGCCATTAAGGGTGACATCACTCAAACCATGAGCCAAGATAAATTCTTCTTGTCTTCACGAGCTTTGATTATCTGTTTTTGTCACAACCTGGAGAAAATGAATTATCACAACTAGAGCTAAAAGCCTGGATGCGGGTATGAGAGACATCTCAGCAGTTAAGATTGCAAACTGCTCTTCCAGAGAACCGGAGTTCTGTTCCTAGCACCTGAGTGTGGCAGCTTGCAACAGCCCGTGCCTCCAGCTCCAGAGGGTCTGACGCCTCGAGAATGGGAATCTGCACACACACACACACACACACACACACACACACACACACATATGCACACAGCTACACATATATACAGAAAAATTTAAAAATTAAAAGCAACTCTCTTTAGAGGATAGTGACTGAACTCTGCTATCTAGCTTTATTTTTCTAACAAAATCAATTTGGACATATTTCCCCAACTCTCTAGGTTCCCGTTTCCTTCTTGATCAAACATGAATAACATATGTGCCTTCTTTGTTGAGTTACTAGAGGATTAAGTATAATCACCGAGTTAGACACGGAGAAAATTGCCTGCTGGGTAAGCCTGAAATCAGAAACCATATATACTATTAGTTAAAAATGGGAGGTTTGCTATGTATAGATGTTGACACAGTAAAGAAGAGGTTTAGTCTACTTTCTCAAAGGACTTCCACTTAAAATTCGATTTCATATTTCTTGTGAATTGACCTATGGTTGCATTGGACTCTGGAAAGCCATAAATCATGTCACGCCATGGGCGCATAATTGGATATCAAGGGAAAACCCATGAGCTGCTTCTGGGAAACGGGATCTTTTCTATTATGTTCCACCCCAATTTAGGCTATTCAGTCACATCTTTTGGACTTGTGATCAGGTTTTCTGGAGAACTGCTCTCTGCCTCTGTGCATTAGGTGCACACGAGGAGCCTTCCTCTGCATCATTCACAAGGTCACTGATCAAACACGCGGAGGAGCGGAGCCTGGTTCAGAGCCTGCGGCCATCAGCTAGAGCACTCCGTTCCGGGAGTCATTGGCTCAGTCAGAAAATCACCTAGCCGTACTCACTCACAATATTGTTTAATTTTGTTAATAAGACACTGTGGGAGATATCTGAGGGAGGCTTATCTAGATCCAAATGTCTGTTATCAATTTATGGCATTGCCCGCCTGGTAATCCCAAGTCAGTTTTTGGAAGATGGAAGAACTAAACTTATCGAAGAGCAGTTATTCTCAGAGAACCCTCATAACACTGGTAATTACCGCCTTCTCTGAGGGTTCTCGGAGGCCCTCTGGAGACTCAGTTATATAATCCAAAGAGGTATTAATGGTAACTCGCTGTCTGTACCTGGAGATATGTCTCTGCTTCCTTTTGAAAGTGAAGCCTTCATTTTTTCTTTTTAATTTGTCATCAATCCCTTCACCACAGCAACTACTGAAGCAGGCCAGAACAGGTCAGATGTTTCCTTTAGAAATTCTGAGTTTTGAGGTTTCACTTCTCAAGGTCTCCCCACTCAGTGTGTTCACTGAGACCCCCTCAAGACCACTAGTGTGCTAGGGATCAGGCTGCCTCGTGTTCCTCTGGCCTTCTCCAGTCAGAACTCTCACTGGGGAAAAGCTGGAAGCACAGTCTGTTGTTATATCACGTGGTCTTGGTTTTGTTTTGTTTAGCTTTGTTTGTCTGCTTCTTTCTTCTTTAGTACCTTCGCATTTATGCCACTTCTATTCTTTCGGACTCTAGTTTTCCAGATTGTTCTCCTAGGTCTCTTTCTTTAAACATAGACCATTCTTTTGTATGACCAATCAAAAAAACTTTTATAATTAAATTCTGAATATTTATCAGTGCCAGGTACTATTCCGGGTATTGAGCGTACAATAGTGAAGGACACACACACACACACACACACACACACACACACACACTTCCCTTTACTTGTAGTCTATTCTCTGCTGCACATCCTTTTTAGTGAAGTTGTCCCTGCATTTTCCCCACCTAACAACGTTTTCCTTTCATTATGACAAGCTTTGGGTAGATGAGCATCATTCTGCCCTTCTGAGTTTTCTCTTTGTAGGGCTATTTTTAAAATGCTCTGTATCTAAGGGTTCCCCGGTGTCACGGCCACCCTCGACCCGCAAGGATGACGTGACCACCGGAGCTCTTCTCACTGCAGTTTATTCCAGGACTTTATTCACAGCAATCTATCTCCTTTTCCTTCTCTTTCTCTCTCTTTTCCTCTCTCCTTCCTTCTTTTTCCTCTCTCTCTCCTCTCTCCTCTCTCTCTGGGCAAACCTCTCTCAGCCTTTAAGTAGGCATGGGCTGCCAAGCCCGAACTGCCAGGTAGGCACTGCCCATAGGTTCACGCATATGCAAGCAGCTGATGATCATTGCGTGATCATAGCATAGGTCAGGCCTTAGCCATCTCAGGAGTTGATCATACATCTCCATCAGGTGTGACACCACGCAGCTCGCTACACCCCAGTATTAATGTATGTGCTTGGTACTAGAGGTCAAAGAAGCCTGTCAGATTCCTGTGGGCTGTAGTTATAGAAGATTGTTTATCACCCTATGGGCGCTAGTAACCCAAACCAGGTCCTCTGCAATAGCAGCAAGTGCTCTAACCACTAAGCAATCCCTCCAGCTCTTTGAATTATCTTTTTATTAGTCTTGGAGTCTTGGTGCTATAGTCTGCTTTTCTGGGACATCATTATCATCGTTGGGAGTCTGAATGCTTATGTCTGTATCTAGCTGTTTCTTATAGCATTTCTCTCCTGTGATGTTTCTACAGTGTTAGCAGAGTAGAAGAGAATTTGGGATCAGTAGGCTGTGTTCTCATTTCTGCTTATTATGATTTATTTATTTATTTTTCTTTTTAGAGACAAGATCACATGCAGATCAGGATGGTCTCAAACTTGCTGCTATGCAGCCGAGGACCATATCTTTTGTATGGTTCCATTGTCGGGTGTGGTTATTTTTTCGTGGGCTTATTATAACACAAAATATTTGCCAACTCCAAAAAGCTTTAGTTAGTACATAACAAGAGGCATTTTAGCTGATCTCCCTCTTCCGCACGTGGTCATGTTTTATTGATGATTTAAAATGCTCTTGTCTTCTAGGACTAACCTGATACTGGTCTGTGGCATCCTTGCCGTGTGGACATGGAGTATGCTACAGTTTCCGCTGGACCTGGCAGGTAAATGTATTCATATTTACATAAAGAAACAAAAAAGTATGACTCTTAAATATAAACCACATGAGCACGAAGGAGGCAGTGTTAGCTCTACTGGAACTTAGAAGAAAGGTAGGTTGAAATTCAGGAAAGCCAATTGTAGACCCACCTTGGTGTGTGGCTGAGTTTAAGATAAATGAGTATAGCCAAGTACGGTGGTGTGTTCATTTAAGCCCAGCACTCTAGTGGTGGAGACAGGAGGAGCAGAAGTTCAAAGTCATTCCAAGCTATACAGCAAGTTTGAGGTCAGTCTGGTCTACGTAAAATTTGATTTCCAAAAAAAAAAAAAAAAAAAAAACAAACCCCAAAATTAATAATGATAAGTGCTTGAGCTGTTGAGTGTGCTGTTTTATATCTGGCTCCACTAATACTTCTATTATTCATTATCTGCAATCCTGCCAAAATTTATTAAGATATGTGTCTCAGTTTTTCACCTGTGAAATGGGATGGTACATTATATCACAGCATCATATATTATTATGACTCAATAATATAGCGAGTGTTTAGTGATCTGTTGATGTGCGGCCTCCATATTTCCAGCCAGTCACATTGTGAGATGTCACATACAAGGTAAGAACTGCAGTTCAGAGCCCCATGTGGAAAGTTATGATTTCCTTTCATGGCAGCCCTTATTCTAACTTTAATGAATACATCAGCCTTTAAGGGTGGGAAAGAAGTAAACCATTCAGCTGGAATGCCATGATACTGACTTCCTGTAGCTGCGCTGTCCTACCGTACGGTACCCACCAGCCACACATAGCTGGACGGCTTGATATTCAATAAAGCTGAAGGAGCGACTTTTCAGTGACACTGGCCATATTTCACCTTCTCCCTTGCCTCATGTGACTCGCATGCTGGGCAGCAAAGATGTGAAACAGTCTTAGCATCATAGAGAGCTCTATGGCATGGTTGCTGCTTGGACTCACACTGTGACTTTTTGGTTCACTGGAAATATGACCTGGCAATTCTTGTCCTTGGTTCATTACTCTCGAGGAGGCCCAGACTTTAACGGTTCTCTTTTCCTCATCTATTTCTTTATCATCATGCTGGCTTCAGGATGAGACTAAGACAGAATACATGAATTTGATGGTCCACATTAATAGACTCAGAGGTCTTCTGAACACTCTAGATCTTAAGCTCACATTTTCTTGGATAAAATTGTTTCCTGGATAGATGGCAAGAGTTGCCAGACTTTTTTCAAATTAGAAAAAGAAAAAGGTTGGGCATGGTTGGGCATGGCAGTGAACTCCCTTGTTCCTAGAACTCTGAAGACGGGGAGGCTTGCAGATCTCTGGGTTTGGGGCCAGCCTGGTCTACTTTGTGTCTTCTAGGCCAGCCACAGCTACATATTGAGATCCTTTCTCAAAAAGGAAAAAAAGAGGAAAATACCAATCCAATTCCAGATTAATAATCACAAACAAATATGTGCAAACAGCATGCAGCTCTTTTGCTGAAGTCTTCCTTAGGTACATGGTGCTCGTTACCCAGCTAGAAACCAGCCAGCTGCTCTTCATAGGCGCCAGGGCTCCATCCTTTATACCCTGGTGGGGGGGGGGCGGGGAGGTCCACCAGGAGGGATTCCCTGAGCATGGCTTCTCCAGAAAGACACTCGCTGACCTTCAGTGTGTCTTTCCTTTGTCATTCGCTCGCCCTCTCCTGTCTTGTGGTTTGCAGACTTGCTAAGAAAATTTTTATTTAAGAAACTGTGTAAACATTCAGAGGTGATAACGCTATGCAGCTGTTTGGAAAACAAAGACCAAATGCCGCTTCTGACTACACAGCTATTGTATTCTCCAACAAGTAGGACACTGTGCTCAACCCGATCAAAGTCGCTTCATATTTGCACGCCCTTGCTGGATTGAGACGTTCTTTGTTGGAAAACTCCAAAAGGAAGGCTTTATTATTACAAAGAGGATTATTTTCTACCCTTGACCCTGAATTAAATTTACATCTTTGAAAATAAAACAAAAGTTTCATCTGTTGATGGAGTCTCCTTTTGTTCAACTAACACACATACACACAAACATCTGCAATTATTCTCAGTTGCTTATAAACTGGGAGACAAAAGCAGAAGGAATGAGGACAAAATGGAATAATGGCCATTATTATTTGAGCTCCCACACCAGACACACATGCTATCACCAACATAGAAAAATTATGTTTAATGTGAGTTCAGTTTAAATTTGAATTCTAAGCACTTGAGTTAAGTGAAATACGGAAATAGGGGCATGCTAGAGAAAGCATCCTGGACGGTCTGGCTGGGGACTCTGCCATTCATATACTGTCCTTACCAGTCAAGAAAGTCCCTCATTCCTCTGGAAGACTGAAGGAAGAAGCAGAGAGCAGAAACGGAGACAGGGTGCTATTCCAATAGAAAGAAGATGTGTAAAGAAAGAGCATGTGTAAAGGATCGATTTGCACATCTATTCCAAAGAAGTTGATGAATAGAGACCTAGGTTTTAGGAGTCAGGCTCTTTGGCATTTCAAGGGAGAAACCGACAGGCCTGTAGGTTATGCAACATGGCCAGTATCTCAATGCTAGACAGAGAGGCAACCAGGGATAGTACCAGGCTCCCTGACTTGAGACCCCCCAAGTACAGACAGGTCTCTGCTGCCTGCCCCCTCTGCAGACCCCCAAACACACACATAGCAGTTTCCTTTGTATCTTATGCTCTTCAGTCTGTTTAATTGGTCATTCCCTACGGGGAGACTGGGAGATGATGCAAGACCTTTAAAGTGGATGAAAGCGCAGGGCCAGGAAATGAAGGGCTGAGGTGGAGAGATATCTCCCCCCTTCCTCCCAGGCCTACACAGCACAGATACTCTCCATCCTTTACAACCAGACCGTCGATATAGACGTCTGTTCCCGTCTTTCACCTCAGAATGTCAATTGTTGTTTCTTTCATTCTCCAGTCCAGCTGAAACTGGTATGCCCCTCTTCTGTGAAAGCCAGGGGCTTCCTCAGGCTCTTCCTATGCCAGTACAGTGCAGATCTATGGGCCATCGGGCTCAGCTTCTTCATCCAAGATGGTCCCTTCCTTGTGGTGCGCCTCGTCCTGATGATCTACTTCCGAGTGATCAACCACATGCTGGTGTTCTTCGCCGTGAAGAATTCCCTAGTGATGGCGCTGCACTTCTATCGGCTGGTGGCTTTGATCATGGCCACCCGGGCTTCCATGCAAGATGGTCCAGCAAGGCTCAAGGCACGGCCCAGTGTCCTAGACCAGCCCTCTGAGAGCAGTCCCAGTGAGTGGGAGGACATCTCCAGGGAGGCCGTGCCTTTGCAAACCTCACCTGTCACCTCTGAGGAGTCCTACCCTATACCTTAGGTGCTTGTTCCCATCATACAGCCAGGAACTTAACTCATTGTCTTCTTGGAGTCTGGTTCTCTTTCTACTCCCACCCCCACCCAATTTTCACCTACAACAGCTTTTAAGGAAACAACACGAACAAATGATCTTGTATTACAGGCAACTTACTCTCTAATTTTTCCTCTGAATGGAAGAAACTTTGACGTGTGCCTACTGTTACAACCTCCTACCATGGTAGCAGACATTACCCAACTCTGAGAACCACTCGTAAGTGGTTGGTTCTCATGGAATTGTTTGGAAGGTTGTAGACAGGGCTGTCATGGCACATCTTCCAAAGATTTAGGGCTGACAAGTACCATCCCCACCATCAATCCTCTAGGGTGACGTGGTTATACAGAGCCTTTAACTGTGGTGGGACCATCACAGTCTCTCATCTGGTGTTCTCATCTGGTGTCTCTCTGATGTGTATATATACACTTTGAATATATATTGAACAAATGGGGGAACATGCTTTTCAAATAAGCTTGCTGTGAGGTGGAAGCTTGGAATTTGAGCTGTCCAGCGTATTCAGTGAAAAACGAAATAGCCACAGCAGCTTCACAGTCCCACCAAGGAATATCCTTCTTCTGGACCAAGGTGGTATTCTGCCATGGTACATATGTTCTTAGAGAGTAGTGACAACTTCGGGCTTGGGTGCATAAAGTTGACAGCAGGCCATTTAGGTTCGAATAGCAAGTTAGTTCGCTTTTTCTGCATTGTCAAAGTAAATCACATGACCAGGTTCCAGGGAGCTCTGGCATGCTGTGATGGAGGTGTTTGTGGCCTTTAGTGTTGCCATGGTTTCCGGTGGCTGCCAACAGCCACTGCAGGAGCAGCACCAGTAGAAGACTGAGCCACAGCTCCCGAGAAATATGGTCCCTGGTTTGAAGAACAAGGTGATGGACAGCGGTGCCAGCCGCATGCACGGGGCCTCCATTGATGCTGAACATCACCACAAGGCACCCCATCACCTCTTGGGGATCATGGTGGCTTTGTTTCCCGTGCCTAAAACAGTCTTGCTCTTCCTTTAAACGTGTCTGGACATTCTGGGTTGAAATGATTTCAAACCTTTGAAAGCAGCTCTTGTTCTTACATATGTGGTGAGAACTGGGTGTGGCAATCTAGCAAACAACTCTAAAACTGTACTGGAGTTCAAAGCATCAATCAATCCACACTAGCCTTCCCAGGAACTCTGAGTCACTTATTCAGGGGACTTCCTAAATTGGACGTGACCATTAGATGATCAGTTGGGACATTTGCTTTTAAAGTATGAATTTCTGGTATGGTATAGCATTTATCTACCACGTTTGATAACATGTTTTATAAACAAATTCTATTTTGTACACAATCGCAACTGTTTTCTAGTAATTTCTAATTCTTTGATTTCTTGTGCTTCCCACTTTAGCAATGACATCATGTAAACTGTGCAGGAAACAAGTGGAATGCACTCGTAACTTTTGATAATAATTGTATGCAAGTTAAGATTGTATTTATAGCAAGTAGAGAATGTGATGGCTTTGAAGGTATATTATTTAATTAACATTCTTAGCAATGAGACTTGAGGAGATGTCTCAAGGTTAAGAGCAGGTACTGCTCTTGCAGAGGACTGGGCTTCATCCTAACACCCACACCCCAGGGCTTGCAATGTCCTCTTCTGGTCTCTGTGGGCACTGACTATGCTCATGCACACACACACACACATACACACACACACACACACACACACACACACACACACACACACGAAAAATAAATAAAAATATTTTTTAAAATAAAACACTCAGCAATAAGATGCAGAAAGGGAACAGGTAATAATACCTGAAATTTGTCAAACCACCTCAGCCTTCTCTTGCTGTGCTGCCTGCTTTGTCTTGAATCCCTTCGCCCATGACATGTATGGGCCTCTTCTTACTGCCTATCTGCCCACAGTGTATTTTTATGGGATTTATCTTTTTCCCCAGAAAAAACAAACACTGAGCTTCTAAAAATAGAACATAAAGTAGTATGACTATTGCAAAGATATTTTTAAGTGTTTTCAAATCTGAGGCTTGGCTTGGTTCCATGAAAGACTTTCTAGCGTTTAAATAAAGTATTTTGTAATTAGCCCTCCCTCCTCAGTCCTGTCCAAAATCTGGCTTAACTTAGAATGCCAGGAAGTCAGAGAGCACCCAGGACCGGCTTGGTAATTAATGGATGGTCAAAAATAGACACGCAGTCTTCAAGGCTTTTCCAGGAAAATCTGCTAAAGGCAGCATTTAACCCAACTGCCAGTGTTTCCAGTTCCTTACGCTGGCTGCTTTGATCATAGTGAAAATGTCTGTTTAGCTTAGTCTACGTTTTACCTCTGATAAAAGCTAAGAAATGTATTCAGTTAGTTGTGTGTTTGCAATTATTACTATTATTTTACCCTTCAAAATTGTATGTTTTTTTCGTAGATTGGTGCACATTGTAATTCTTTTTTAGATCTCCAAGTGCTAGTCATACACTGAGCACCAGTCGTCTCCCATACGCCGGCATCTTGAGACGTGTTTACCTTTTCTTTGTAGAGAGAAAGCTTAACGTCATGTAGGAAGCAGAGTCTACCCTCTGCCCCCAGCCACAGTGCACACTAAGCCCCAATCCCTGAGGAGGAGGGGGCTTCACTTGCAGTTGCTAGAGCCATTGCTGACTAGTTAAAGCTCAGTCAAATATCCTTCCTATAGACATGTTCCTCCACTTGTGGGAAAGCCCAGTGTCTGTGTTTATATGACGCTCTGTGTGAACACACCTCAGGGGCCTCTTAGGCCTTCTACAGAGTGACTGAGTCTTAAATGCCACAATACTGTGGTATTTAATGCTTAAGACGAGCATACAGCTCTGTGTTTGTTTATTCTGCCAAGTTCTGTTGCAGCTATAAATGACGGTGTTAGAAATGCTGAGCCTGGAACTGATGAATAACATCGGACGCATTCAGGGAGATGTCTAAGGGAATTCTGCCCCTGGCTCTGTTGTCCTACCACAAAGCGCTTCGGCGGCCTTGAAGATGTGTCCAGACAGCGATGGGATCACTACTATCAGCACACTTCCTTATTTAACAGGAGCCTTTTGGAGCCCTGGGAAGGCATGCCTCACAGGTGTGAACCCTTTAGGATCACCATGATTCGGAATCCAGCGTGGACTCTACTCATCTTGGGTACTTAGCATCAAGAACTCTTAATCAGATTCTCCTGGAGAAAGAGAGAACTATAGAGACGAGGCCTGCCAACCTCCAGTCCACTCTGAGATTCCTAAAAATAGACGTTACAGCCTCGGAGATCAAACAGTCTTGAATTGTGAGATAAAAAGACACTGTTAGTCCTTTTGCTGTCTTCTAATTCTAGGTTTTGCTTTTCACTTGTGGGAACTTTTGATCTGTTCTCAGACATACCTGATGAGGGTTAGACCAGGCAGCTGGGGGCTCCAGATAACTTTCAGCATGGCGAGAACAGCTTGATAGTGACAGAGGAATGAGTCGCCATGGCCTTCTACTTTATCAGTTTTTATCTTTGAGGTCTTTTCTTTTTAATGAAAGGCGTGTGAGTGTATTTTCTGTGAGTATTTCTATATTTTGTTATACATGTCCTTTTCGTTTTATTATAGACATTAAATGCTTATGTACATCTTTCTCCCATTGCCTTTTTTCCCCCTACTTTGTGTGTTTCTCTACTGTCACTCATTTCCTTCATGGTTTTTAAGCCCTGGCTTAATAACTAAAACTGATCTGTTTAGAACATGATTAAAGCGGCATTTCCAAGCAGCGAGCAGAGAATGACCAATTTCATAACTGATGTCAGAAAATGTTGCTATCCATCTGGAAAACATAAAGCGGAATTTTTATCTCATGAAATCTATAGAAATAAATTCCAGATGGATTAAATCTCATTGTAAAATGAAAACTATAAATATTGGATGGAAATACGGAATGCGTCCTGAGCATGTGGGGGATGGGCCACTTTCTCTGAAGCAAGACCCCAAACCCAGAAACAATTAACTGACAGACTTTCCTATATGAAGCCTTCACTTTTCTGAGTGGCAAATTGTGTCGTGAACATACCGGTTGGAAAAAGAGAAAAAATAAAAACCTGGTATAGGCAAGAAATAGAAGGGTAGATATTGAGAAGGAAGAGCTGAAGGTGTATTTATCTGGAAAAGACTGAGCATCTAAAAATTACTAAGATCAATAGCATGCACAAGCTAGCAACATGCAACAAACTTTTGAGCAGATTTTCCTGACACTATGAATTAAGGCCTTAAAACGTGTACGTTTGAACTTCAGAATTTAAGGAAAGTTTCCGATGATGCTGAGAGTCATAAATGAGTAAGTTACTAAATAGACATTCTACTGGGTGATAATATGAGGCATCGATAATTTAAAGAATCAAGTTCTCTTAAGTTCATCTGTAGACCATCTTTCATTGTGTTATTAATAAGATCCTTTTCGCATGGATATATTGTGTGTACCATGCATGCGTGTGTGTGTTCAAAAGTGTGAGCATGTGTGAAAGACATCACAGTTATTGGACGTCTTCCTTAGTTGCTTTACACATTTTATTGACTAAAGCAGGATCTTGCCAGGAACCCAGCACTAGCGAATTCAGTCAATCCAGCCAGCCAGTTTTCTTGTTTCTGCCTCCCAGCACTGGGATTACCAATTGCCTGCCATAGAGGAAGGCATGTTCGTGTATCCCAGGGATTCAAATTTTGCTTCTCGCTCTTACAGGGCAAGTGCCTTACTCACTGGACCATCCGCCAGCTCTGAGACATAATTTCTAGTGACTACTATTGATTTTAACAACAAGTTTTGCATTCTAGTGACTACTTATGCTAGAATGTTTCATAATTAAATAAGCACAAGAAAATAGCTGGAACATGTTTTTAACAGACAAATGAGAGAGTGATTTCAGTATTCCTAACTACATTACACAGTTACAATAAGCAAGAGAATTTGGTTCTGTCATATG